TACTTAGAGGTCAACAACAAAAAAGTATGAATTCCTTATTTGCAAAAATCTCCATACTCTGCCCCTGCCTACATTTTTAGTTTCTTCTGCTACTTCCCAACAAAAAACCTGATTCAGCTATGCAGAAACTCACCATTTCTTAATCTGCTAAATCCTTTCATAACTCAGTCTCTGAACATATATTCCCTTGTCCTGAAATTCACCAGGACCCACACACACTTAGTAAACTCCTATTCATCTTCTATCACACTATTTGAATCACAATCACCAAGAAAACAATTTAAGAAAAGTCTGAACATAGAACTCTAACTATGGGATAATTGTAAGCAGAAAAAGAACTACAAAGAAATCTTAAACTTTATTTAACAGGTAGTTAATTGTTGCGTCATTGGTGTAGTAATTACTTTTTGTGTATTGTAGGATACAGCATATGAGTAAGTATGACTGGGGATGAGAACCAGAGTTTTATTGTAGGGAATACAAATATGGACTAAAATTAGATGAGGAAGAGCCCTTCAGTGCTGAATTTGAATTGAAGGTATCAGTGCGAATTCATTAAAAGAAAAAAAAAGTACTCGCTCGTTCTGCCAAGTAAAAGAGTAAATCTGCAATGGTAGGCAATAGCAATGAGTACATGTATACCCAGACTTTGGTTTTTAAATCCCATTCTTCACTAAAAAAGCAAGTTTAGGGCCCTTGGGGGGAAAAAAGGTTGATTCTACGTCTGGAGCAAGAAAAGTACAAAGTAAACCTAGGCATCATGTTATGTTTAAGTTAAGGATGTGTTTAAAAAATAAAGAAGAGTCATGTCAAAAGACATAGGAGTCAGGCATTGGTCAAATCTTTGAGACAACTTTAGCATCACAAGTAATACTGATGTAATTACTTAAGTATAGGTTTTTAAAAAAGAATGCCAGGTAACAAATATAGGAGAAATATTAGAATTTTTTTTAATTACCCCTTATTGTAGCCCCTAATGAAATGATAAAGGTAAGGATCATTAAAGAATGCTAAGAACAGTGGGCGGAAGGTTGCTAAGGTATTCATATGGTCTCAAAATATCACCTTACAAATCATGTACTAATTATAAAGAAGAAAATAAACCTCTACAAGGGTGTGATCTGCCTATCACTACCTTAAGCAAGTGATAAAGTTTAGCATCACCAATAGTGGGACAACCTGGCATTATATGTCTTGTGATGTGATGCAATGTTAAGTTCGCAACATGTTTCCCATGCAGTATTTCTGCTAAAACTGTTTGTTTAATGTAATCATAAGGAAACAATCAGATAAATTAAGAATGTAGGAAATTCTACAAAGCACTACGCTAGACTCTTCAAAAAATTCAATGTCATGAATAAACAAAGAAACAAACAGGTAGACATGTTGTTCTAGATAAGAGAGATATACAGGGTCTGGCACAAATAACGCCCCTCTTTTATTACAAAATCAAAGCATGTAATTCTGTAACATAACAATATCACACTCAAGCACACCATATGACATTTTAGGTGAAATGTTCAAATTAAAACTATAAAGTGTTACACCCATATTATTACCCTACCAACTACACTCAAGCAGGCATTACTTTGGCCAGACACTGTATTAACCACATGGACCTTGACTTGACCCTGGTTGATGAAGTAAAACAAGTATTATAAAACACACTTTGGGGACAAGTAGAGAAGTTTAAATACAGGTTTTATATTAGATATTACTGAATTACTATTGATATTCTGAGGAGTAATAATGATATAATGGTTACAAAGGAGTGTCATTCTTAGCAGATATATAGCAGATATATTTAGGAGTGAAATGTTAATATACCTGCGCTTACTTTCAAATGGTTTGGCAAATATAGAGTACATATGGCAAGATAACTGGTGAATATAGATGAAGTATATGAATATTCATTGTATTATTATCTGTAGATGTGAAATATTCAAAATTAAGGATCTCAGTTCAGATGTCACATCTCAGAAGGCTTTTTTGACTTTTTTAGTGAATTTACTTTTTGTTTTCAGTATTCCCACAAGACTCTTTATATTCCTATTTTAGCACTTAGCAAATCTGTAACTGCATGTTTATAGATCTGACTTTGTGGAACCCCATTTTCATTCCTAGAACTTAAAAGCTCTTTATCTGGTGGTACCTACTAGGTAAATAGTGTTTGTTGTGTGAATGAGATAACTGGTATGCCAAAGTGACAGGTCAAAACTGAAATCTATGTATTGTCTTTATCACCCCGTGCCTAGGATTTAATCAAACTCCCCAAGCAGAAAGCCTACTTACAAAACGTTCCTTTGTGATCTTCACCATTATAATAGATATCCACATCAGCATTCAGATTGATTTAAAAACAAAGCAATCCTAAAACAGCTTCACCTTTATCATTACAGACACACTTTCATTTTAAATTCTTTTAGTTTCAGCACAAGGAAATTAAGATGCATACCTGTTCTATATCCTTGGAATTGGAGGTCTGGTTTCCTCCCATGACTCCAGGCAGCTCATTTTCCCATGGTAATTTATTTTTTCCTTTTCCTGCACTTAAAACCCTTCGGGTACATACAGTTGGACTGTAAGATCCATAACTTTGCATGCTATCCCTTGTGTGGTCACCACAGTGACAGTATGCACTCTGAGTTCTGTTACCAGCCAAAAGCCAGTCTGTATCTGCTCCATGTGTCAAATGGCTTGACCTACCCTGGGCAGATGATGGCATGAGCATTGCATACTCCACAAATCCCTGTTCTGTTAACCTTGGGAGGGTTTTCCTAGCCAATCTGGCCTGCACAGCATTCATCACTCCATCACCATTATCTTGCAGTTCAACAGTATCCACAGCTTTGAAAAGGGTGCTGGTTTTACCTGAGCCCATTGATGATGCCAACACAGCAAAGGCTTCGAGAGCTGCTTGGCGAACCCTGCGTTTGCTATCTACAAGAGCTGGGGCAAGATCAAAAGACAGTTTGGTTAAGTCAAAATCCTCACTGGGATAAGTCAAGAGGGAGCAAATGCAAATGTTCACCACCTCCTCCCTTACTCTGGAATGCTTATGTTTGAGATGTTCAAGGAGTAAACAAAGCACCGGTTGAGGACTTACTTCCTTCATTAGCTTGAGGAAGATTTTCATGTACTCTTGTTTGATCACCAACTTGTTGTCTGCCAGCACTTTGACAGAAGCTGCTATAACTGGTCCCAAGAAGTGTTGTACCTGCTCTCCAAGACGAATAACCAGTAAATGCAGAACCTGAAGTGTGCCATGGACCACTCTGAAGTTAGAATCGTCTAACAAATTATAGAGCAAGCTAATAAAACTGACAAGACTAGAATGTGGGGTAGAACTAGGGTTAAATCGTCCCACCACCTGTTTCAGTTCCTCAACGGCCTGAGTCCGGTTCTTATAGTCTTCTTGATCTAACAATCTTGAATGCAGCTCCTGAGGAATAATCCCAAATTTAAGATTGCTGTTGGAAGTGGTCACTGCACAGGGAAGGGGATCTTCAGGAAATCCAGAGGCTTCAAGTTCCAAATAATAAGGAACCTGACTGCCAAACTGAGACTCCAGGCGACGATTGTAGTGTCTCCTCAGGGCAGAGGGCAGGCGAGAGATATAGGAGTGAAACTTCTCTTGGCCAAGTCGCTCCCCGATTTGTTGAAGTGCACAGAAGGCTGTCTCAGATTCTTCTTCTATCTCCTGATCGCCAAGCTTTCGGGCCAAGGATATTATAACCTCGGTAAGATCTAGGCCGAGCAACAAATCTTCAGTAGTAAGCAAGATAGGGAACAGTAGCGCTGTGGAAGCTCTAAGCCGGGCATCAGTACTTTCCAATCCTTGCTGTATAAGCGTTCTCAGCACCTGTCCAGCACTACGTTTCAGACATATGTGTAGGATCTGCAACGCATCTTTCCGCAGGGCTGGATTCTCTTCTCGTAAAGAGACAACCAACTGAGGCAGAAGTACTAAGCTAAAGGCCTCTTCCAGCTGGCCTGCCTCCCCCTGACCTCGAAGAACGTCCGAGAGGAGTTGCAAGCAGAGTCGTTTCTCATCACTACCTCCTTCCACAAGGACTCGACCCAGGGCTCGATACAATGCTTCCTTCCGTCTAGGGAAGCCAAGCCGACCGCCTCGCCGCGGCAAAACAGCCTGCAAAGCCTGGAAGGCCTCAGAAGGATCCGGTGCGGTCCGGAGAAGTTGAAGGAGCCTACTTTCCTCTTCATCTCCCCCTGATAAACCACCTCCAGACCCAGTCCAACTACTTGAGACTGCCTCCGCGGGCATCAAGAGGGTCGAGGCCAGAGACGAAGGTGTCGGGGGACAGGAACCGTGGTCTCCTGCAGCTCCGGGGCAGCAGTAATTTTTCCCGTCTCTCATAGTGCCCCCACCTCGACTTACATCAGTCTCTGGAGCAGAAGGACGACTGCAGCTCTGGGGGCGATAGGAACATTGGGCTGGAAGGGGATGCAGCAGGAGCAGCGCGGAGGGCGCAGCCGCCATGGAGGGTCGTTAGGAGGTGGAGGTTAGAGGAAACCATCGTCTCCAAAACGCCTGATGGAGCTCAGCCTTCTTGTTCCTCTTCAAGCCCTAAGCTGCAGAGGAGGAAAACACAGCTACAGCCAGGTACCAGACCGCCCCCAAGTCCGGAAGCCTGAGGCAAAATGGCCCCCGCCTAAGCCCCAGACCCCACAGCTACCACCGGGCGTAACCAGGGGCTCCACGTGACCAAACCGATCGCTTCCATGGTGATGTATCCAGCGCGGACCTCTTGACCCGGAAATCAGCATGCCGTGGCGACTTCTGGGTCATGTAGTTCATGTCAGGTGTTAAAAGTAAGCCGCTATCTCCTGGAAAAGGAAGTGAAAACGTTGCAAATGTAGCCGACTAGGTGAACGTATCCAGAGCCGCGATGGCGAGGAGGCTGAGTATGGGAGGGGGCGGGAGGAGGCATTAGGCGGAAGTGACGCTATCCCGTTAAGGGCGGAAGTTCCTTGCCCCACCCGTAAGAATTGAGGTTTAACTAGAGGCAAAGCGAGGATCTTGCCCGCCCGGGTTTCAGTTGTCCACGGCTTCTCCTCCTGTCGTTGCGGGCGTGATTCCTGGGACTCAGGTATTTTCCTTTTGCTGTCCACCTGCGGCTCAGGCAGTGGCAGAGTTTTGCCGGAGTGTCGCTGGTGCTGAAAAGAGGTAAAGAAATAAACGGGAGCAAGCCGGGAGAGAGGAGACATCTTGTGCAGGAGTAGTTCGCGTTGTAAAGGCGTTGCTTTCTACAGCCCTAAGAAGTGCAGTCCTTTTCCCCTGCCTTCCGCTTACTGGGACCGAAGATCTACAACAAGGCCAAGCTCATACCTTACATACTTTTTTCAAACCCTGGTCTTTTGGGCCCTTACGCTCCCCTCCCGTCGCCCCCACCCCTCTTTCCTTACTTTCCTTACCCTCGGCTGTGAAGGGTTCAAGGTTTTATGTCAGTTTTCTTTATTACCATCACTTTAGGTTCTCTTTGAAAACATAATCTTGGAGATATCTTTTTCCCCCCAAAACTAACTGCCTCTCTTACATTTTCTCAGAGTCTCCAATGCAGTTCATCTGTAGGACTCACCCCTCCCACTCTGTCGCCCCAGCCTCTGCAGGATCTTCCTGCGTCTGTGCAGTCTTTTCAGTCTCTTAGAAACGGAGACTGCGAAGAATATTTCACTTGGGGTAGAAGTTCTCGACATCACGATCCTAAGAGACTTCTGCTCTGTAGATTTAAGGCTGATACTAGACATTTGTTTGTTTTAGATAAAGTGTGAATTTGATGAGCATTTTCTCCTTATAAATGAAACTTCAAGCGGTCATATCTGAAGAGATGGAGTGTCTGGTATAAGGCTGAATTCTTTCAAGTGTGGACGAGAATTTGTTTTTGAAGGAATAATACAATTACTTTTGAATCACCCAGTGTGAAAAGGCTAGATTTTCATTTGACGTTTCCAGTGTATGCACTTCAAATGTAGGTGTACCTACACGGCTCTGTGCCACTTGGGATGTCTCTTAGATACATTTCAGTCACGTATGCCAAACCGTTTTATAAATAATGTTGATGAATAATTTAAGAAGAATTTCTGGATGTTGTCTTAAAGCACAGTTTGAATATCATAGGTTTCTTTTTTCTTTTGGGACTAGAGTAAATGTAAGTAAAGCGTGTGTAAACCATACAACCTTGTTTTGCTTTTAAGTTTTAGATTGTTCCTTTAAAATTACTCATTGTGGTGGTTAAATGAATCTCCCTAAATTTGGTTTAGCTATATTTCAGCAGACCAAAGAAAAACTTTTTTTTTCCTCATAGGAGTAGGGTAAGGTCAGGGAGAGAAAACCAAGAGATGACTGAGTTGTTGTCTGTGAGAAGGAATGTCTGGTTCTCATATTTCCAATGTATACTTTTACTCATATTCTCAGACTTCAGGAACCCAATTCAGACTAACCTGAATAAGAGAATGATTTACACATTAGAATGTACACATTAGAATGTACACATTAGAATGGTGGTTTATGTTGGAATAGAAGGTTACCCTTTCCAGTGATTAGAATTTTCAAGCTGAAAATCCAGTGCACTCTTTCCTACATCTGAGAACTTGGGAATAGTAAGTAGAGGTTGTGTCGTAATCATGGAATCAAAGAAAAGGAACTTAGAATGTCTCGGATTATAATCATCATCAAAGTTATGGTACAAGCTTAAGAATTATCCCTTATCCCTGTAGAGAATACTTCTCAAGGGGCTTGGATACTTAAACCAACCAGTTATCGTGTCCTTTTCCTTGGAACAAAGCGAGATGAATCTTTATTTGACTACTTCTTGCAGGTCCTTGTGGATAGATCACTGTGTTATAGATTGCAGTTTATCTGTTATATTTGATTTCCTGGATGAAGACTTGGGAAATGCCTTAGTCTCCATGGTGGACATTTAGGAAGTGAGATCTTAACAGCATCACATATCCTTTTTTTTTTTTTTTAGATTTTATTTATTTATTTTTATTATATTTATTTTTAGACAGAGGGGAAAGGAAGGAGAAAGGGGGAGAGAAACATCAATGGGTGGTTGCCTCTTGCACACCACCTACCAGGGACCTGGCCAGCAACTCAAGCATGTGCCCCGACTGGGAATCAAACCGGTGACCCTTTGGTTAGCAGGCAGGTGCTCAATCCACTGAGTCACACCAGCCAGGGGTTTGTTTTTTTTTTATTTTTAGAGAGAGAGAGGAAAGGAGGGAGAGAGGAAGAGAAATGTCCAATGCAAGAGAGAAACAGTGATCAAAGACTCAACCCAGGCATGTACGCTGATCCTTATCAAACTAAGGACCTTTCCGCTTTCTGTACCAACTGAACCACACTGGTCGTGGCAGCTTCACATATCTTACTAATTATCTTTTAGGGTTATTTTGAGGAAAATGAATCTCATCATTTTAAAGTGTATTTTGTTTATTTCTATTACAAAGATTTTTTTTTGTCTTATTTTTGAATTCTAGAAATTTAGGGAATTCTAGGAATTGTGTAATGACTAGAAAAGCCTTTTATATTTATCATAGATAGAGCTAGGATAAAAAAATAAATTTCAGAATAGTGGAATATACTGCTAGATGTATTAATAGTACACCCCTGAGAGTTGAAAGGAGTTAATTAAGGATACATTGAAAATAACAAATTCAAATAAAACAGGTTAAAAATCAGTAATTTCAAAAAAAAGTTTAGTTGAAATAAGGGATTACAGGAGTGTTTGTGGTATATAACTTAATTTTTTGAGCTGAATTTAAGCAAGGTAAACAAAATTGCCCTAAAAACATCCTTTATTTCCTTTGTCAGTGATATTAGTTGGTTAGGTGAATCACTATAGTTTTTTTCTGTGTTCATAGTTAAATGTTACAGACTCCAGGAATATTGAAAATCATTGTGAGTTCTGTAAACTATTAAGAATTTTGTATAGGTTAAGAAGTTGTGAAGGAATACTATGCAAATAAAAGGTGCTATTAATATTAACAGATAATTATGATACTACCTCCATTTATTGAGTATTTGCTAAGTACCTAACACTGTTAAATGAATCTTAATTCATTTAATTCTCACAACAAATTTTTGGTGTTTTCATTTTCTACATTTGTATGATGGCACATTTTATGGGTGTTTCAGTTGGAAAGTAATTGGACAGAGAAAGAAAGTAAAACTCAAATTAGTCAATTTCGCTACTTGCCTGGAGCTTTAGAAAAGTTTTGGTAGGGGAGAGTGTTGAAACTATCGGATAAAATTAAATTTTTCCATTATTGGTTATTCATATCTTTTATTATATTGATGCTCTATTTGATTATATCGATTTTAATCTTTGGGGGTGTCTGTTTTGAACCTTTTTAGTTTCTTGTTTGAGTCAAAACTTTAAGAAGATTAAGAAATTATGAGCTTAAAAATACCAAGAAACTGTTAGCTTCTTTTTATGCAGGTGGGCCTGAACAGGTGTTTTTGATGTATATCAGTGATATACTTTAAATTACTTAGGATTATGTTCCAAAGTCATTGTACATATCTGACTGAGTCAAAACTATAATTTTACACAGAAATCCAATTTTTGTTGCATTTTAAGCACTAATTTGTATAAGTTAAAAGGATTTCATATCCATCGCAACCAGTTTTTCAGTGGATGGGTTAATTCCATAACTTTTAGTTTTCAGTAATGGCTTTGGGAACTTGCTTTCTCCTGTATTATTCCTGAATCTGTAATGTAATGATTCATATTATAACAGGTGCTAATTTTATTTTTGTTTCTCCACATATAAAGAAAGTCAGTCTCAGTAAAAAGGAGAATATGTCAACTTATATTACAGGCTCAATGATAAAATTATATGCCATCATTAGTTGAATTCTTCTGTGAGGGGAGTTGAACTGTCAGAAAGAAATTTAAGAAAACAGCTGATATGATAAAATATTCTCTTAAGTTCATAAATTACACATTTTACAGAAAAGTACATATGTGTTTGAAATTTTTTTCAAATAATCCTCATTTCCCTTCACTATTTTTTTGCTTTCATTGTAGCAGATAATTGCCTCCCAACTGATTTGTGCACTGTTTTGTAGCTTAGGTATCAATTAATTAGTGACTAAACACACAGCTTGATCTTTATTAGCTTTGTTTCAGAACCTAAAATTCTGAGGCTGCTGTAGACTCTGGAAAGCTTAATTTCATCTAACATTGTCTTTATGTTGTGAATATTTATGTAATAAGAATGTGATTAAAAATGAGTAACAACACTATTACCTTTTTAAAAACTTTTCAAATGAATGTCGTTTATTCAGTATTGACTAATCCAGTTACCCGGATTTAGAGTACACCTAAAATTTGTTTTATGGTACCAAAATTAAAAACAAAGTAAGTATGGTAGAGATGTAGAGGAAGAAGAACCAGTCCTTCTATGATATAAATAACAACAGGAAATAAATGTTCCATAGATCCCTCTTTAGTTCATTTTAAATCCCTTATGTATTTTGTATCTCTGCATAGTGTTTGTTTATATTTTATATATGTGTGTATGTATGTGATCTATCCTTTTTGGGTTTCTAGTCTGCACTTTTTTTAGTTTCATGTTTGAATTAAAACTTCAATAAGATTAAAAAATTGGGAGCTCATAAGTGAGGCAGTATAACATACTATTTAAGAACGCTGGACACTGAGCACCAAGGTTTAAGTCTTCCTTTGAGCTTAATTCATGCCTCAGATTTCTTTGTGTATAAAATTAACAATGCCTATCTTGTGTTACTCTGACGATGAAAGCTTAGTACATTGTGACAATCAAACAAAGGCAACAGTGTAAATAGATTGAAATTTTAAGCAGGTCAGTATTGTTCAGCATTGTTAATTTTTAATGTAATGTGTAGAGAACATTGTTCTAACATTTAGAAAGAGTATAGTCCCAGTAATGTCTCCCAATTATGGGATCTTACTGACTCATTTGAATTCTCTGAACTTCAGATTCTTCATGTGTAAATCTTATGACAAGCTGAGTATCTTATAGATGTGTAAAATTTCAAAAACATACAAAAGTAAAGTAGAATAAGATGATGACCCCTCATGTGCCTGTCAGCCAGGTTCAACATTTATCAACTCATGACCTCATCTCTATCTCCATCTACTCCTTCATCCTATGTTATTAGTTTGAAGCAAATCACTG